CTCTGGGGCTAATTAAAACTTTTTATACTAAATTCAAAACCAGAAAATTTATCAGTTGGTACACTTGATTTTTGAATGGACGATATGACTCGAAATTCAAGTTAATTTTGCATTTAAGTCATCACTAACTTCAGTTGACCGAGTTGATTGATTTTCGGCTTCGAGTCGAGTTGCTTGATGATTCACTGACTGACTGACTCGATCGACTAGCTTCGGTATCTAAAAAAAATCAAAAATACAGAGGTGATTTCACTTAGATTTTATTGTTTTTGCCCTATTCGGCAATCAGAGAGCTAATGGCGCATCTCTAGACCATTACAATTCTACATGGTATCACGGCCCGTTCGGTTCTCAACCCTCTTCACCATCTCCATCTTCATCTTCACTTCAATCATCAAGATCACCATCATTATCTACAAATTCATCGCAATAATTATTAGTAAGAATCAATTAAGTACAAAATGTAAATTCTAATTTTATTTTCTCCTTTTCTTCATGACAAACCTAATGAGTCAAATTATCCTTGGACTTGATTTTCACCTTCGGTATTAAACTTTAATCTAATTTAAACTTTGAAATTTAAACCTAAAAATTAAGACACAATCACAATGTACAGAACTGAGCGATTAGCTAAGAAAACTAGGCACTTAGGATTGAAGAATTGAGTTCTCCTGTCAAAACGATTCTCCAGCATATGAATAAATTAACCTTTAAATGTTAATTTGCTCCTTAATATAAGCATTTAGTTTAAAGTTTGTTTTGGTATATTGAAACAGATGAGACTCTTAATATTCTGTTGCTAATTATCATCAAATGACAAACAACTAAAGGTTAATTTAGTCAATATAATTGTGACTATTTACACACGTGAAAACAATTTAGTTGTTGCTTAGCAATTAGTGTTAATAATTGACATGGATAATTTTTCAGAATTGGTATAAAAAGAAACCGTTTTCATTGAGTTTTTATCATTTCCAATCATTTGATCAAGTCATCAACAACTTTGAAAAGTTTCATTATCTTTCTTGTTCAAGTAACATTTTATTAATCTCATCATGAATTTACACATCTTCCAAATCATCATGGTTCTCATCGCCTTAATCGGAGCTGCTTCAGCCGTAGGTTCTTTTACTCTTTCAAGAAAAGCTCGTGGTGTACCTAACATTGATCACGATGCTCCTGCTTCTGATTTACCTAAAACTACCCCTTCTCCTAAAATAGAGCCCATAGATCGTAATATTACTTCTCCAATCGTTTCCGGTGCCAGTGGTTTATAAAATGTAACAGCTCAAAATCCCGAATATCAACTCCAATAACTTGATCAAATTGTTTCGAACAATCTCTTTGTAATCTCAACAATTAAACCAATGATTAATAAAATTATTTGAACATCTGAAAATTTCTATTTTTCTTTAATCTCGTTTCATTTTTTATTCGGTTTTCAGTTTCAATTGAAATCAAGCTCTCGATTTTCAAATTGTGGTCTAAATAAAACTTATTTCAATCTCTGATTGTCTTGAGCGTAATAAATATCGGTCATACATCTGAATCTCACTCTCTGTCATAGATCGACCTGCAAAAAACAAAATTTTCATATGTTCCAAAATTACTACCACTGAAATTAAGATTATTCATAACAAAAACTGTCTCTCTCTCTCTCTCTCTCTCTCTCTCTTTGAGAAACATATTAATACATAAAATTTATACAGGTTATTAAAACCATCGAGCGGCCTTATTCCAAAAATTAAGTGAAGATCGGACTTAGATTATGATCGATATCGTTCAAGCAAATTTTGATTTTTCTAAGTAAAGTCTTCGCTTTGTTCAGACAATCGTTTAGAAGATGATCTAGAGTTGTTCCGATCTGAAAAATTGATCGATCAGATCGATCTTTGAGAAAGAAAAATTGATCGATCTCAACTTTCAGAAAATCGATCACCTGAAAAACCACGTGATTTTCGATAAAAATTCAAAACTCAAAAAACTGATTAATAAATCTAAAATTTTACTTAATTAAGAAATTAGACAGTGAAAACAGACAGTATACAAAAGAAAGAGAAAATTTTCAGCCTTTTTCGACCACGAAATTTGAATTAGCAAAATCGAAATTGATCGATTTATTAGCGAAAATTGATCGGATCGATCGATCAACTGAAAATCTGAGATCGGAACTTCTCTAAGATGATCGTTAAAAATACATGATGTATGTGAGTCGTTAACAATTAATAAAATAGATTAAAATTATTTCAATAAATTAAATTGAATTGTTAATTTACTAATTGACGAATCCTTATTTTCGTCAGAATCATTGGATTTATCTTATCTGTTTCAATATACTAACTCATCGGATGATCTTTAATTAGATCATTTAACTTTCAATTTGTTTAGTTTATTGAAACAGAAGAGAATCTTGTTGCTTAGCAATTAGATCATTAGTTAATCATTTAAATTGATAGTTTTTTACAGAAAATATTTCGAGGAATTTGCGGTGATGTGACCTTGACACCCATGCGAACAATGTCCAGATGGAAAAGAGACTAGAGAAAGAAAATATATTGACAAGGAAGGCAGGATCAGGTCATTTTGGAGGCCAAAGGTGCACGAAGTTTTGATTAATCTCTTTGTAATCTCAAAAATTCAGCGAATTTTTATTATAAATATTTTATGCATTTTAGAATTTCTATTATTTTGATCTTATTTCAAAAATATATTTATTAGTCATCGATTTTGTTCAAGAATCGGACGGTCAATTGACAAATTAATCGGATTATCTCCAATGATCAATGAAACAGAGTTTTGAGTTGAGTTAAGCACAGTGTTAATTAGTATTAACATTCAAGGTGATTGTAATTAACCTATTCGTTTCCCTTGAATACATATCAATGGTTTAAACAATTTGATATAATCAATTTTTGATTCATTTATTAGATAATAATATTAAATTCCTTCTGAAAAAGAAGATGAAGAATATGATATTTGTACCAAGCAATCAAACTTAATCAGATAAAATCAGATCAAATGTTAAGATGAAAGTTAAAATTAACATTTTTGACTAATAATCTTTGTAATTGAATCAATTTAGTCATATAATTGTAAATATTTACACACGTGAAAACAATTTTGTTGTTTCTTAGCAATTAGTGTTAATCATTGGAATAGATAATTTTTAAGAATTGGTATAAAAAGAAACTGTTTGCATTGAGTTTTTATCATTTCCAATCAATTGATCAAGTCATCAAGTCATCAAAAAGTTCAAAAAGTTTCATTATCTTTCTTGTTCAAGTAACATTTTCATTAATCTCATCATGAATTTCAACATCTTCCAAATCATCATGGTTCTCGTTGCCTTAATCGGAGCTGCTTCAGCCGTAGTTCCAAATTCTGGAGTTACCAAACCTTCAAGACAAGCTCGTGGTGCAGGTAGCACTAGTGGTGGTGTTACTCCCCCTAATACTCCTGCAGATCTCAATCCCAGCGGTTAATAAAATGTATCAGCCCAAAATCCCCAAATATCAATTCCAATATCTTGGTCCCATTGTTTTGATTAATTTGTAATCTCAAAAGTTAAACGAATGATTAATAAAATTATTTTCAGCATTTGAAAATTAGTTTTTCTCTAATTTTATTCGGCAAAATATTATTCAAAATATTTTAAGACTTTGAGAATTTCTATTTTTATCTTAATTCAAAAATAGATTTACTAGCCATCGATTTTGTTCAAGAATCTGACGGTAAATTTACTAATTAATCGGATTATCTCCACATCATGATCAATGAAAATTTTTGAGTCAATCATAGTATTAATTAATGAACAATCAAAGTGGTTGTATTAACCTATTACATGTAAAGGGTGTTCAAAATAAAAACTTAAAATTATCTTAAGTTAGATAATGAAGATGATAAAGGAAACACTGATAAGCGAGATGAAGATGTGACAAATTTGTTTTGATTTTTTCATCTTCATCTTCATCTCGCTTATCAGTGTTTCCTTTATCATCTTCATTATCTAACTTAAGATAATTTTAAGTTTTTATTTTGAACACCCTTTAGTTTCCCTTGATGGTCTAATCAATTTTTGATTGCTTTATTAGATAGTAAAATTAAATTCCTTCTGAACAAGTTAATGAAGATGATAATTTCGTCATCGAGCAATCCAATTCAATAGTAAAATCAGATCAAATGTCAAGATGAAAGTTATAATCAGTATAAGTCAGTCAGTTTTCATTGAATTAACGTTTATATCACAGTAAACCAATTGATCAAACTATCAACAAATTCAAATCTTTGGTAGTCTTGTTTTAATGATTCAATTTCCATTTATATCATCACGAACTTAAATATTTTCCCAATTATCATGATCACTGTTGTCTTAGTCGGAGTTTCTACAGCATTGGGCCTTTATACACCTCAAGAGAAGCTCGCCTTGCTGCTTTTAGTCGTATTATTTCAACTCCCGATGACTCGTCTGATTGTAAAACACCTGAGGGGACCTAAACCTGACCGTAAAAGTCCTACTGGTAATGGTGACTCACCTGATCGTAAAACATGCAAGCCCAAAATTCACCACAACGACGATTAACTACTGGTCTAGCACCATTATTTTAAGGAAAAGGTTTGCATTGGAAACGAAACTTTGATCGCCATCTACCAAGTACAATATATACTATTCTGCCGAGAGTAATTTTCTCAATTTCTTTTCTCATAATCAACTCATATTTAAACTGTTATCAATTAAATTTTATAAAAGTTAAACATGAAACGTTAAATTATCAAAATAACTCACAATTTGTGAGTTGAATTAAAATAATTGTTAGTAAATTCGTTGAATGTTAAACTAATCGATACTTGTGCCGCCTTCTATTGAGTAGAAATAAAGTTAATTTCGGTAAAATTCTCAATTGACTTTCGAGTATGATGATTACTTCTGGTTAACTCAATGGGAAAAAATAGGTTCCTATCATTTTATATACCCAATAATTCAGAGAGTTGAAACTCATGCTCATGGTTATCAAAGGGAAACAACATCTCCACTTTCTCTGTTTTCTTACCTCGAGAAGCTTTTACCCTCTTCGCCAGTGTTTCGCCTTTTTTGCATTTCTCTTTCTCTCTCTCTTTCTTTCCTTTCTCTTTTCCTTTCTTCTCTCTTTCTAATTTACCCTGAAAGTGAAACAAAACCCGCCGCCATTAAATAATATCAAAAAACCTCCAAAACCCCAAAATCACCAAAATCCAATCATTTAATAAATTGTGAATGATCAACAATAACAACACACAATCAACATCATGTATCATGATTGTGAAAAAGGAGGTAAATCAATTTGAATTTTCACCTTGATTGTTTTCCCACCTTGTGATTTAGTGATTACCATTATCATCCTTGTAATCAAAATTTTCAACAATGATCAATTGATTATCCATAATCTTAAATCATCATCTTCATTATCTTAACAATTAAAATCCTTTATTGATTATCCTTATGATAAGTAAAACAATTTAATCTCATTTTTAAATTTAACCTTTGAAAACCTTTGAAAATAAAAAACAAAAATAATCTTAACCTTCACTTGACCACTACAAACACATTAATATAATATCCATCACAATAAATCTTAGCTTGACCATTTCATCCAACAAGTTGAACTGACCACCAAGTAAACAGAATCTCAATCACTTCATCATTATCCCCATCAAACCAACAATTGAGTTTTCCAATGGTGAAAAATAATTTATATCAAATGTGTATTTATATTTACATGTGTCTACAATTTTTACCAATCAAATTTATATCAAAAAATTAGCAATTAAGTCAAATAAAAACTTGAATCAGTTAATCATCACAAAACAAAACTAGTGAAAAATTTACATTATCCTAAAGCTTAACAACCCAATTATTTAGTAAATCAATCAGTGAGTCCGTTTAATCATCGGCTTGGTCATCTTTCCGTTACCATCACCTCCCAAGATCATCATCATCATAATTGTAACCGGAAAAGGAATTGATAAATTTTGAATGCGACCATCACCTTTGAACAGGTTAACCACACTCTGGATGCTATTCTTATCATCATTCCTACTATACACCTTCCCGTTATTATGTCTCCTCTTTTTCCGGACAATTTTATGCTCCGATGCCGAGGAGAAACTGGTTCGGGACCTTTTCCGTGATTACAATAAACTTATCCGCCCCGTCGAGCTTATTAACAAGACCGTTGAAGTGCGTTTCGTGATGTACCTTATTCAGCTAATTAACGTGGTAAGTGTCCAATTCATTTATCGATTAGTTTACTTCGTATTATTCAAATGTTGGACTTGTGTAAATTTCCTCGAAAAAAACTTCCAATGTTTTCCATTTCCAATCAAAATGTTTCCAAATATTTTCTCATCATTTCATTTTCCCTGAGACATTGACATTTATTCATACATTCACTTCAATTGTATCGGAAATGCTTACAGGTCAATTCCTCTCTCTCTCTCTCTTCACATCAATCTAATTCCGAAGAAATAAAATCGCTGAGGGAATTGAATAATTTCCTACATTGATATATACACTTTATCCTAACTCAACTTTTATACTGTTCCCATGATAAAATTGATAAACATCTTGGTGAATCTCTTCTGATAATTTGTAATATCAATTCGATTGTTTTTTTTCTTTCACCATCATCATCATGATGAAGATGAAGAAAAAAAAACAAAACCCAAAAATTGTATTAATAATGGATAACTTTTTTCTCTCTTTATTCCATTTCTCATGATAACATGATAATATTGCCTGAAACTGAAACCCTGAAATAACTGTACATTTTTCAGAAGAAAAGTAGAAAGGGAAAATATTAAATGTTATCCATTTTCATTTCATATCTTTCATATAATATTATTATTAAATGTCAGAATGAAATGTTCAATACATATACTTTTATTGTGATGATATTCATCAGTTTTTACCTTTCCAATGTAAATCTATTTGTTGGAAGAGGAGAAGAAGAAAAAACAACAAAAACAAAAAATGATTGAGAAAAAGAAATTCAGAGAAAATCTCATGAAATTTTACATCTAAATGATAAATAATCGATTGAATATCAATTGAATAATCAATCGAGAACAGGAATCATTCAAGTTTCCTTCTCATGGTTCATGTGATGACCATAACCTGAAGGGATGAAACATTTTTATACCTGAAAATCATATCTTAATACTCTAGTTACCCTGAAATCACCTTGAGTGTCAAGATGAAATGTTTGTTATCACATAAACAATTTTTTTCTGTCTTCCTCCTTGTCACCTCATAATCATAATCATTAGTTGATTGTCAATGAAATTAAATGAAAACAGCAAACGAGAAGACAACAACAAAAAGTATCTCTCACTTTCCCTATTCAGCTAATATCAGAGTCTCTCTGAGGAAGAGAGGAAGAGGTAGATAATAATAAGATGAAGATGATGATGATGGTGGACAGGATGGAGAAGATGAAAAAAATAAATATCTCAAGTATCAACATCTTCCCATTTTGATGATGGCGGAGAAGATGATGAAGTAAACTGTAAACATTGGAACAGTAAAAGCCTCTGTTATTTTAGGGTTTGATATTTTTTTTCCTCTCCTGATTTTCACAGCTCAAAGGAATCAGAATCAATTGTTCATCCTCATCCTCATGAAACATTATGAAAGATACACTTATATACTAATACTATTACTGAATGTTTTGAGATACTCAGAGTGTGTGTGTGTCTATTTGTTATGCTTAAACCATCAAACTGTTCAATGTTTAATGTACCGTTGATGAAGAGACAAAGATATAAAAATACAATATAAATCTAATGAAAGTTTAGTTAACACACGAAATCTAATGAGTTTACCTTATACACTTTGACTCTTTTCCTGTGTTTCCTTTTACTTTTTCCCACCCTCTCCATCCTCATTTTCATCCTCATCCTCATCTTCCTCCTTCTCCTGAGTTGATACTCATTTGTAGTGATGACTTTCCTCTCTCTCTCTCTCTCTCTTCTTTGTCTCTCTTTTAACTATAATATCTCATCGTAACTGAAACATTGAACAGTATTGAAACTCTAATTTTGAAACAGAATTTACAGTTTTTTTCCTCAATCTCTTCTCTTTCTTTTCCACCCTGTTTCATGGTATCATTCATGACTCTTCTCGATCAAACTTGTTACCATTATAACAGAATAAAATTTTTCTCAACTTGAAGTGACAAAAATTTCTCATCATCATCTTTTCATCTTCTTCCCCACGCTGATACTTTGTGTCTTCTTTTTTTTACTCATCTCTCACTCTTTTTCCATGAACCAGAAAACCAATATAATGTGAGAGAAAAAAAAGAAGACAGAAGATGAAGAGAGAAAAGGTTATCTTTGAACTGAGATTTAGAATCTGACAGAATTGAAGCTCAACCAAGTTAATCGATTAAAACCTTTATCCTAAGTCATTATACAACCTTTTCGACTTTTCTCTATTCTCTTCCCACTAATCATTCATGTTATTTTCCCCCTTTTCCTGTTTATCTTCATTCCGCATCATCATTTGTCTTCAGTAAGGGGATAGAATTCTCATTTTTGTACTTGGTGATATGACCATGAAGTGAATGAGAAAAGCAACACTTGTTTCATTATCCAAGTTTGTCTTAAATTCTGTGTTGATTATCACTATTGATGGAAAAGTTGAAGATGATGATGACAAAAGGAAGATGAAAATCTAAGAATGTGATGGAAAAGAAATTATCTTGACGATTCATTGGGAGTTTTCGACTCCCAGAATTTCATCCATCTTCCTTATCGCAATCATCATCATTATCTTTGCATTTCTGGTTAGTTTTAATGAAAGAAACTGAAAAAAATCTCTCTCATTCTCGATGTGAACTTGATAAAATTACTGATATTAAGTGTTTCGATTTGCTGGAGATTTATCATCCTCATCTGATCCATAAGATGTATGTAAGAAGATGAGAGAGTCTGATATATATCAGAATTGTACAAGTCATGAAGAGTAAGATGAGGATGAGGATGATAAAGATGCAAGTATCAATTGCAGTTTATTATTAGTATTTACTATTATTATTATTGTTCGAATATACCAATAATAGGAGAAGATGAGAATGAGATATCTAAAGGAAATGATAGAGATATAGCTGGATGCATATTAAGATGGAGATGAGGATGAGCAAAAAAAGAGAAAGAAAGTAAAATGATAAACGATGATGTTGATGATGAGAAACCGAAGCAAATGGGAAATGAAGTCTTTGTTTTCATTATAACTTAAACCATCATCGTAGACAAATTAACATTTTATGTTCCTCTGGGCTTGATGGTTTCCATCATCTTCATCATCTTCTTCGTCATCTTATCTCTTTTGCTCTCTATCTCTTCCTTGAGGCTTCACTAGTGCTGTGAAAACATGAGAAGAGAAGAAAAAAATCGTAAAGGTAAAGTGAAAGATGAGAATAATGAGAATTAGAATGAGGTAAAATTCGCAATAATACCAAAGAACAGTTCGAAATAAGAGAGGAAAAGAAAGAGAAAAGAAGATGAAAAGTTAGATGCTGCATGAGAGTCAGAAGAAAAAAAAAGAAAATGAAAATGCTGCTTGAATAATAACGAAAATTGTATTACTTTTATCACATGGAATCATTTCCAATGATATTTATCATTCTAAATGATATTACCAAAGTCTTAACTTTTAACATCTATTTTCATCATTGGTAAATCATCAAGCAAATGAGTGAAAAACAAAGTAACGGTATCACCACTTGGGTGATACACTTGCTCTGAGAATTCCCATCGATGAGAGAGGAAAGTAATAACAATCAGGAAATAAAATAAATTCTTCTGTAACTTTGTAATTTCATCGAGACCAATTGAACTCGCTGATTAACTAATCAGCAATTGATTAACTTGCAACTCATTCGAAAAAAATGATTAATTATTAAAATTTTCCGTCTTTATTATATGGAATAAATTTGATTTTTTGTTCTTCTCTTTTCATTACATCGAGATAGAAATGAATTTTTTTCACCATAATATCATCATAATAATCTAGATGGTCCATTATATGAATTATGATCAATTGATTTTCGTTTCTATCTCTCTCCATTTTTGATGGTTGATTATTCTGATTCTTGACCCTCGCGAAAATATCATAACAATAGTTGAAAATTCAAACATTTAAAATTCTCAGTGAATTCTCTCTATTACAAACTACTGTAGTTCCTAATCCTAATAACTTCATCTATGATGATGATAGGAATATCTCTCATAAGTTCTGACTCTCATCAGTGATTATCATGAATTAGGAAATGAAATTTTTTATTCTCATCTTTAATTCATTTATAATTATCAACTCATTCTTGTATGTACAAAATTCTGTATCTTTTGTTTATTAGCTTTCTGTTAATTAGTGTGAAAAAATGTAAACAATTAAATTGATTGAAATTTGTAACTCTCTTTATATTCAAATTACACTTTTTAATTGAATGGTTTCCATTTCAATTGAATTCAATTATGGATTAATCCGATAGAGAATTAATTTAATTATTCATATCATGAGGATTTAGTCTTGATTGTTTACACACTTAATGTGTAGTTTTAACTAATATATCATTTAAATTGCTTCAAATTAGTTTAAATAAACTCTAATTATCCATTATACAATTAGATACTTAACTATTAGTTACTTGTTAGTCTATTGACTTATGAAATTGATTCAATTACAAAGATTATTAGTCACAAATACTAATTTTAACTTTCATCACTTTGACATTTGATCTGATTTTACAATTAAGTTTGATTGCTTGGTGAAAATACCATCTTCATCAACTTTTTCAGAAGAAATTTAATTTAGCTATTCAATGAAGCAATCAAAAATTGATTTCATCAAATTTTTAAACCATTGATATTTATTCAAGGGAAATGAATAGGTTATAAATAATAGTATTAATACAATCACCTTGATTATTAACTAATTGACACAACTCAAAATTTTTCATTTATCATTGACCATTGTCGATAAACTGATGAATTAGTGTATTGTCCGTCAGATTCTTGGACAAAATCGAGAACTAATAAATTTATTTATGAAATAAGATAAAAATAGAAATTCTCAAATGCTTAAAATATTTTTGCTAATCATTCGTTGAATTTTCAAGATTACAAAGAGATTAATCAAAACTGCGTGCACCTTTGACCTCCAAACATGGCCTGATTCTGCCTTCCTTGTCAATATATTTTCTTTCTCTAGTCTCT